GTGTTTGTTGAGGTGGTGGGGGGGGGGTTTTATGCTAGCAGCTCTGGAGTATGGACTGAAGGCATGGGCTCTCTAGCCTATGGCACATCTTTAGTCAATTGTTGTTTATGTAGTCTTTCTCTTAAGGCTGTAACTGCAACGAGGCTCCTGCTGTTCAGTCATAAATTTACCTTCCCTTATTTTTGAGGAGAAGATATAGAGGCAAAATTATTACAGGCGTTTTTTTTCCCCCTACCTCTTCCCTTTGTAATTAGCTTCTACTGTTGAGTCTTATCAAACCACAAAGAGCAAGCAACAGAACACATTTTTAAACCGAAGCTTTTCCAGCTACACTGATCAGCTTAGATCAGCAGATGAGATCAGCTTAGTTTCTATATGAATAACTGGGTGTCTCTTCCTGTGCTCCTTATCTCTGCTGATGAATGGAGGGAGGGCAATGTCAGACTATCACTGAAAGAGGAAAAGCTTTTCTGTGATAGTAAGTGATTTTAACTCCATTAGGAAATAGACCATGTACAGACACTCCTGAGCAAAGGGCACCTGGTGTGGCTGGTAGACACTTGGTGCATGGACTGTTGCTGGCAGAAGAAATCTTTGCACAGCTCTGGGTCCATCTGTCTGATGTGGCACTGAGAAGAGGGTTGCAAACCAACAGAAACAAAACACAGTAAAATAAAAGAAATAAGAAATAGAGATTGGGAGAATTCTGGAGGGAAGTTACCTGAAAATGAAAACTCATTTGGTCACTTAACATTACAGAATTTAGAGTATTTTAAGTCTATTACTTGTTTGTGGTTCCTCTGGCATACGAAATACCTAATGATAAAATCGCCCATCCAAAATATAAATATAGAGAGGAAGAATTTCTCCAGGACAAGGTCAGCGAGGCAATTTTCCAAAGCTGACAAAACCTTGTTGCGCAAACTGGGTGGTGAGGGACATCTAGAAATTGCTGGCTGGGTAGGTCTCTGAACAGAGGCTGACAAGGCTTGGGAGGGCTTGAAGCCTAACATTGAAGCTCTTCCTCGTTCTCAGGAAGTCGGGTGCCAGCAAGAGAGCTCTGAGCGCTGGCATGGGCTGTAGAGCTGAGAACTTCTTCAAAACTGCCCCCGGTGTGACCTGTCCCACCAACCTTGGTCTGAAACAAGGCAAACAAAGAGAAAAGGAAGTTCAAGTCCCACTTGCCTTACACTCCACAGCATCAAGGGCTCAGAACTGTTCAAAAGAGACACAGAACATGGGAGCTTTATTTTTAACAGAACCAACAAAGCTCAAAAAAGAACCAAATAAAGCAACTCTCTTCCCCCAATTTCTAAACTTTTAGGCTGCAATTTTCAAACCTGCCTGTGGAACTGGTCACAAACTTAAAGGAAGAGTCCCCTAGCTCCTACCAGTGAACTTAGTCCCAATGTTAGGAAGGTTCTTTACATGAGTATCTTCAATTTATTTCTCTATTCTTCCAGTAAGAAGATAAGTAAGAGTTTGCACAGGCTGAGTAAGAGATAAGTATTAAAGTGAACTGGTTTATTTTCTGAGAAAAGTAGCTCATCTCTCAACAACAGTAACATAGCTTCCCTCAAAATGTATAAAACTTGCTGGGATTTCAGACAGTAGAAGGAATTTGGTAACCAAAGAACAAAACCAGCAATCTGTCCAGGTAGGTTCTTGTAACCATCTAGATACTGAGTTGCAAAACTGCCCACAGCATTTTAGCTGAAACCTTTTTAGCTTAACTTCTTCCTGGGGGAAAAAAATTGAATTGTATTAATGAAGCATGCAATTATGTGCTCACAGATCATCTATTTTCAAAACGATACAGTTTGTAGAATTTGTAAATATAAGTACTATAAATAAAAGAAAATATGACAAACTCTGAAATTGAGTTTTCCTAGTGAAGAAAAAGCTTTATTTAAAGCTTTGGAAAACATCAAGACTGTAAGTGAAGAAAAGAGAAAGCTAGTTTGACTTGGTTGTCTTGGTAAGAAAATATTCTTTTGTGGTTTGGCTTGGGAGTATACCTCCTAGAAGTTGATTCAAGTCTGAAAATAAGGTAAAACTCTTCACTCCATTCCTAAAACTGCAGCAGGACTTAAAAGGTGGCATTTTCCAGCCTGTCAGCCAGTGAATGCTTAGGAAGATTATTCTAATAAAATGACCTCTGCTTCCTAAGGCTCCAGAGGGTTAATCCTTTGTTTCATCAGCTAGCATAAGGGCTTACCTAGCTTGAAAGTTCAATAAAATAAGGCAGTAGGATGCTTGATATTTGCTCTGACAGTTTGATAGTTATTAAAAGTTCCCATCTCCAGAAGTAAAAATGTGTATCCGCTCTAGTGGACTATGCTGTCTTTCAGAAAGTATCAGTCCATCATTGATTTTTCCACATAGCAATACAACATATATAAAATTCATTACTCCCTCTATTTCCCAATTAAAATTCCCAACAAAAACAGTATTGATTCTGACTGATCAAAACGAGTGTGGAAGTAGATTATTCCTTGCGCTATTTCAAGTGACTCAGATAAGGTGCATCTGAATTTGAACACCTCAAAAGCAGAAATATAAATACACTTTCATTTTCTGTTTGTGTTTCTGCCTACTCTTCCATGGGAAACCAAGAAAGTGTAAGCAAGCAGTTATTTTTCTGGAATGCCTCTGGCCAATACCCAGTGTTTACAGCAAACATTTAATTAGTAAGTGTTCTCGTTTTCAGAAAAGTTCAAAAGAGTTTTCCCTGGGAAATCACCCAGGTTGATTTCCAGGGAAAGCTGAACTAAGTCACTCTCCCAAGAAAGCTGCAACCCAAAGTCTAAACTCAAGAGCAAATAAAATCTATTGACTTCTAAATGCGTGAAATCTGATCATCAGTTTTGGCTGACTACAGAGCACTGAAGGACCACGTAAGATATGTGAGTAATAGGAAAAAAAAAAGATATTTGATAATGCTGCTACTATTCTTTTCTTTTGTCAGAAGTCTCTCCAGGAATTTATCTGCTTTTTCAGATCATAAGAGGGCCCTAGAACTGAAGGGCCAGCCTATGCTATCCCCCTACTCCCTGGATACTTCCTGATGCCCGCAGTAACAGACTTCTACTCTTGCAAGCCTTGGAACAGAGGCAGGGGAAAAGGAAGAACATTGCTGAGATACTCCCAGTTGTCCATCCCCAGTGTTGGTGACACCCCATGTCCATGACACCAGCTCCATTTCTTTCTCTCATTTCTTGGTGCACAAAGAGAAAGAAAACATAGGAAGAAAATGTTTCATAAAATGTCAGTGGGTTTGCCAATAAAGCTGGACAATGGCATGAAGGTTGAAATGGATGTGGAAGGTGACTTCAGACTCAAGACTTTTGGTTTAGTAGTACTCAACTAAAGATTCCTTAAAGGATGATCTAAGAGCGCCCCAAACACATCACAAGCTAAGAGCCGGTGTGACAAATACTCTCCTCTGCCTTGACTTAATCAGCAAAATAAGATCAGTCTCCTAAAGCAGATCACTGTGAGAAGAAACAGTCCTCAGAGCTGTGCAGTTTGAAGTGATTGTCTCTGAATGATTCATGTGCAGGTAACTGGAACCATGACCCCCCCTTAAAGCAGAATGGACATCATGCATGTTTGTCCTTTAGCCATCAAAGCAAGGCTAAAGGCTTTAAGCTGTCCCTCTTGCAGATTGGCCATAAGTGTAGAGAAATGGATTTAAGGAGACTAGAGGAGTCTAGAAGTAGACTTGGGAGCTAAAAGTGTCAACAGGTCTAAAAGCCCTGAAAGCAGGTTAACTGGCTCACCTCATTGCCACTAAAAGACTAACTCTGGGTACAAAAAGTGCTGCATTTCTCCGAAATAGTGTCTTTGCCTACTTGGTAAGTGGCTGAAAATGCAAAAAAGTCCATTCTATCTAGTGTTCCCAGGAGCTGCATCTCTTATTCGACTGAGTAGAAGCAGAAGGAACATAAGCAAGCGTACACTTGATTGCAGCAGGCAGGAATTCAGACCTTCCAAGCTGATGCACTTCATGAATCCCACTTCATGAATGCATTTCTTTCACAGTGTGGGTGAATATGAAAAGCATTTGCAGCTAAGGTGAAAACAATGAAGGAACTAGGAAGGTATATAAAGGCACTGAACTGGGAGGCCTGACTTGAGGCCTAGGTTCTGCTCTAGCTCTTCCCCTAGACTTACTTGAGGTGCTGTCTCCCAGCTGTGAATGATGTTGTTTCCCTCTCTGACTATGTTTCCCTCTCTGACAGCATGCAATAGAGATGACATCACCCTATGCCATTTCGAGTTAAAGTTGCCAGCCTATCACTAAATAAATGTGAATACTCAAAAGCTGCAAATGAAAGAGTGAGTCTAAGCACTCTTTGGTGAAAAGGCTGATTTAGAAACACAAAAAGATATCCAGCTCTGTTGCTCTTTAACTTCCGCAGACATTGACTAGAAAATGTTACCTGCTATACCATTTCACAGTGCCATGGAAAAGACAGATGTTCCCTGTGTACCCGCAGCTTGAGTTCTAGTTGTAATTTGCATTTTATATGACAAGGAATGCCTCCTGTCCCAAGTGGAAGGTCATTTTCTTGCCATTCAAATTCTTTACAACTTGTGTCGTAACACCCACTGACATTAATCCAGTATTTTCAGTTCCTCCTAAAATGAGGGGTGATAATTTTGGCCCTTGTCAGCACTAAAATGAATTGCATTTGGAATGCTGTAGAATCTTTCTATAGCACTAAAGTAAAATGCCATTTTATGGGCATTTAATGGGGCTTTATCAGATAAATAAGAACCATTAGGAGACAGACCTTTTTGCTCCCCCTTCAATGTGCCTTACTATGCTGCAAATATTAGCTTACTGCAAATTTGCCATACTCTGTTCTGCTAACTAAGAGCTTTAACAAGTTGTATTAGCAGTAACTGACAAAGGTATGTTAATCCTGAGTTACAGTTCAGAAATGCTAATCAGATCTTCTTCTCCCTCAGCAAAGACTAAAATATGGTTTTGAAGTCTTAAATCCAGACAAAATAATGAAATCAGATAGGAAATGGACCTGCATTAAGGGAAGAATACTTCACTGCTAGGAGGCACACAGGTAGTGTGATTCAAGCCAATTACATGACAGCTCCCACCAGTTCAGGAAGTGGTGGTGCCCACTTGGTGGGCATCGCTCACGGATTCAGTTCACCCTGTAAGCATCCAGCTGTGTCAGCCTGGCAGGGCACAGCATAAAGCTCGTAAGACCACACTGCTTTTGAAATCTGACCTTGTATCTCCACATGGCTCCGCTTTGCACACCACAGTCAGCCATGGTCACCCTTGCTGAAACGTCCCTATTTTCCATTTTAGTGTGGCCACTTTTTCAGCATTTCTGAGACCATTTGTTTACTTTGGTAGACAACATAAGTCATTACTTGGTAACTGAGAAGCAGAGAAAAACCATTTCTCTGTATATTGCCCTCATTTTCTGTCTGTGCACTTGTAGTTCCATGAAAAATCTTGATGGAACGGCAAATTCAAGTCATCTCCTGTACAAATGATAGTGATGACTAAGCTGCTACACTTTAACAAGCACAGCCACGTATTCAGCCCCTAACCTTTACCTTAAGGTTCGTGACGGTGGTCTCAACCTTCTCCTCAAATGATTTGAAAGTTGGAGAATTCCTAGGAGAAAAAAACAAAAGAGAGTTGAAGGGAGGAATGAGGCCAGTCAGTTCGAAACTTACTTGTGTATTACAATTTCATCAATTTTTACCAGGCAGCAATGCTAGGACAGAATGAAGGCTGGCTGGTGGCACAGGGCTATAGACTAACAGGGAAGTCACTTCTGCTACTGTCAGTCAAATCCAATTACAGTAACCAGATGAGGGTTTTTTTTTTTTTTTGTGGTACAAATTTGCAAAAGCAGAACCTGCCTAGTAATTGAAAATGAACAGTGACTTGCCTGCCTATCCTCTGATACATTTACTCTATTCTCTGAAGGAACAACCAGAGAATACTGGCCTTAGTACTGCATTTCTGTGGTTTTACCCAGCTGTATTGTTGCCACAGTGAAATTAACATTTTTTTTTCAGCTGGTGAACAAGGTAATAGGCTATATGATTAAAAAGATGGTAGTTTAACCTTAAATGTCCTAGAGACCTGGGGCAAAGTGATTTGAACTACAGGGGAAGTGGGTCTCAAATACCTGTGAGGAATCCTGACCCTCACTCCACAATTTTGTGACATTTAAGTGATTCTTGTTGCTTTCAAAGACAAAGACTTTAAGAAGATTGTGTCCCAAAGGTGTCCCTCTACTGGAGCTAAGCTTTGTTCTGCCTTTCACTCCTCACAGAATGGAAGACCACACTTCCAGTTTTTGGAGCACTGAGAGTTGAACATATCTTAAAAGAAGAAAAAAAATATGAGCAAAGGGTGTGATTTTCTTTCTTAAAGCAAGCCACCTATTCAGTTTGCTGGCTTGCCTGACAACCTCAATCTCTTTTTCTCCAAAACTTGAGCTTCTCTCTACTTTACAGTGCATTCAATTTTTAACATTTCTTCCTACCAACTGAATATAATGACTACAACAAACACCTGTGGCTTAATATTACAAGCATAATGCATATGCTCTGTTTTAGAGTGAGAGTATAGAACCCTATAGGAAATTGCACAGGGCACCCCTTTAGCTGCTTAGATGGATGCCTCTTCCCCCCTCTGCCCACGGATTCCAGCTGCTTCCCCACTGCTGATAATCTCCATCTCGTGCAGGAAGACACGCTAGAAGCAGAAGAGCTGGGATGAGTACAAAAGCTTTTGTCCCCCAACAGCAGTTCAGCCAGCAAAGGCAAACTTGGGCAACTCTGTAGTGGGTAAAGGCAGGCTGCAGCCTAGTATTCCCTTCCTCCAGTTCTCTGCCCCTTGCTTGACAGCTGAGAGCTCGATTACAATGCACTTTGTGTCTCATTGGTAGTGAAGAGTCTGTTCCTCATGAACTGCTGTCCAACAGGCTCCTCTTGTACTTACTTTACCAAAAGAAGCACAGAGGTGACAGAATCCCCCTTAGTCCAGTCTAGTATAATGAACCAGTTACTCAATCAAGTCTTTAGTTCTTAGGCTTTTCCCCCACTATCTGTTGTGATACATCCACTAAGAGGTTGCAGAAACCACTGTCACTGAAAGCATAAGGTGCTTTCCTCCTAACCTCCTACCAACACCTTCAACAGGATCAGACACTGACAACGTTATGTCCATTTGTTCCTACATGGAACAAAAGGTAACACTGATCTTTAGGCATAAAAGAGGACATGCCCATACAAAGGGGTCAGAAGGGCCTTACTCTGGCAGGTGCCCGTACTGCCTGTACCATCAATGGGGAAAGGCAAGCACATGCAGGAGGTGTTTCACTTCACAAAGCAAGGAAGCTAACAGCTGCTAAACTTAAGGGTGCCAGTTCATCGTCTGGGCACATACCGGCAACTTACTAGGAGCGTCATGACAGCCTCTGCTCCTGCAAATACGTTCACATCATATCCCTCATCAGATCAGTTAAACTCACCCTAACTTAAGGGCAAGCAGAAGCCATTTGGAAAAATAATGCAGATTTACTTTTGGTTTCTGTCAAATAAACCGACAGACTTTTCACAGGGCGAGAAGGAGCAAAAGGAGACAAAAATTGAGTTTTATGACTTACATTTGGCCCACAAGTCACACTTGCAAATGCTTGCCTTAAACTATCCACCTGCTGAAGCTGAATGAATTGGTCTCCAACATTTAGTTAAGAGATTTGTTTTCCCCACATGCTTGGCAAGGAGAGGAGATATTCATATATTTAGAGACTGGGGTGGGGGAGGGGAAGCGGGAGCCTAATTTTACTGAAAACAGTTGGAGCTTTAATTGAAAAGGCACCAATATTTAGCTGCAGTCAAGTAAAGCATGATTATAGCCATTAAAATATGAAAGCACTCACAGAAAATCCCTGCACAGGAGCATGATCCAAAGCCTGCTGGAGTGGAAAGCATCTGACATCAGCAGGCTTTGGATGATGTTCTAACGGGAGCAAAACAACTAAATTTCAGACTCAGTAATAAAAATCTGTTAACATTCAGCTATCCAAATACATCTCAGAACTGCTACATTTACTCAAAGGCTTGCTTGCACAAGAGGTAAACAATTTATACAATTAAAAGAAAAGAAATACAGATCGCCAGCCCTGCAGCCCTTATTTACTTAAATAACCTTAACTGATTGAAGTGGGATGATTCATTTGAGTAAAAACTGAAGGATCCGAATCAAAGAATGAACTCATTACAACGTCAAACATCAATAGAGCAAATATAATATGGGTAGCACATTACCTCATCGCAGGCATGCTTATGGAATGGCGAATAGAGTAACTGTGGAGTGAAAGCAAAAGAGAAGGAAAAAAGGTGTAAAATTCACTGTGCAACATGGTTATTACATACCGTTTTTTATTTTTTATATTTACTTAAAAAAAAATCTAGAGTGCTGTTACTCTGCTCCAAATGGAGAGAGCTTGTCAAATACATCTGTGAATTCCAGCTCACTTTCAGCGCTGAAGATCTTGCCACCACTCTGTTGTGTCAAGTGACCAAAGACTGCATAGGGCTCAAAGGAACCATGCAACACACTTCCTGGCAATACTCATTTAAAGGAGTCAGACCCTCGCTGTCTACATGCAACATATGACAGAGGGCTACCTTCATGTTCCTACTCTCAGATGATAAGCTCTGACCTAGGTGAGTATAAGTACACCTCAGGTTTGTGAACACAAACAAAGTTAGTTCAAGGCAGGTCTGTACTTCTTGCAAAAGAAGTTGGTAAAGAAGGCAATTGCCTACTTTTTTTTTGCATGTACAATGCATCCAGTCTAAAGAGCCAGGCCCTGCCTCTATTTGTATAGCCCCCTGGGCAACAGGCTATCTAAACAAGAGGTTTCCTCAACAAAGAGGCAACCCTCACAGCTGCAGCAGTTCCTGTCCTCATCTCCTGGGGACATTTCACCCTTTCCTTCAAACCTCTACTACCAACCATAGAAAGCTCTGCTCTCCAAAGCTCTCTCCAGCTCTCACGTTCTTTTCTTCCCTCCTCAGACTTCCCAGCAGCACACGTATGGGAGAGCGGAGTGGCAGAGGATGGAGTCTCTATATCACTCAGAGAGCTACAGATCCTCTTGTCCACTTTTAATCCCACAGATATCCCCCAACCTAGTCTCTTGGCTCATATTAGCCACCTTCTCCCACCTCAGCCAAAGTGAACTCTGCTATTATAACATTTCATATTCCCTACTGCTGAGAAGCATCACACCTATTTTGAATATGAACCTTTATTTATTTGAAATACAAGTAGTACCCATAACTACATTTACATCTGAGTAAATTTCACGCCGTAAGAGTATGTAGTGTTTCAAAAGTTCATGCGTGCCTACTTTCAGTGTTGACAGCTGCAGCCTGGTCTGACGAAAACAGTAGGAGCTTTACTGTAAGGGACACTAATATTTGGCAGCCATCAAGCAAAATATGATTACAGCATTAAAATGTGAAAGCACTCATATAAATAGCATGTATTTGTTCCAAACTATCAGCGTCCTTATACAAATTGTACTGTCTCCATATACAAAAAAAGCCATTTTTTCCCAGAACTAAGATTTAGAAATAGGGGGGGAAAAAAAAACTGGCAAGAAGGTGGTCAGATGGGTCTTAGAAGAATTGTTTTCTGGTGTGCATACCTTAAGACTTCCGCTAAGCTGAGATAGAAAAGAAGCAACACCAAACACTACACAAGGTTTTCTTGTTCAATTAGCACACCATTTTTAAGATTTAGGAAAGACAAGTCCAAACATTCACAACTGCAGATCTTTAACAATCCCAGTTAAATGAAACAAGCATGCTTGCCATGTTAATCTTGTAACACATAACAAACAGGCAGAAAATAAAGTTTTAGAGTAATTCAGCATAGGCTGCTCCTGTTCTAATAGCAAAACATTCCAAATATAAAGCTCTAAATAAGAAGATTACATTGTGCCAAATTAAATTCACTCAGCTGAAAGGTGACACGTGACAGACAATCTGACTATTGAGTGCATATTTTACTGAGCTCATCTTTTTATTTTTTTTAAAGAGGAGAGGATTCAAGCTACAGCAACAGTGACAATAGCTTCCAATATTGTTCTCTTACTTAATGTTTTAGGCTCCAGGACACTTGTGTCTGTGATGATGAAAGACCTCATGGGTTCAGTGCAGAGGCAGAAAGCAGAGACCCCTTCTGCCAAAGGATTGCTAGGTTTTACAGTTTTGGCTGATCTCGGAGTGAGACAGGAAGTCAACTTACATCACATTTTGAAGGTTTTTTCAGTGAAGTAAGAGCTCATGTTCGGACAACATTTAGCCGAGCAGAACAATTTTCTTGAGTCACCCTGTTCATTAAGGACGTTGTAAGTCCAGACTGCTGAGGATTCAGGGCTGTTCAGCCCCTTTGTTAGGTGAACCAACTAAAAGCTAGATAGCTCACAAAAGATTGCTTTATCATCGTCATATTTTGGATCATATATTAAACTGTCCTACAGTGTTAGTAGGCTCAAGCTCTAAAGAGGGTAAAGGCCTCTTTTTAATTACTGTAAGAACTTGTCCTACCTTTGGAGATCTCTGTAAACTCAAGATTTTACAGAGTCAGCCTGTATGCTTCATGACTGCTATACTTCTCCTTTATGGAAGAGGTAGGAATTAAATTCGTTATGTGATCTTTATAAAACTCTGCTCACTGAAGAGAATTTTTATTAAGTGCTGTTTATGTTCCAGCCTCTAGATAGAAGGAGATGGCTGAGAGAACAGATTATATATAAGTAGGTTTTCCCAAGAAAAACATCTTTTGAATGAATTCATTATTTGAATTTGAGACTAATCTACTCGAGAGCAAGGTAAACACTCTAGCACTTACTCCAGTCCTTTCCTTGCTAGAATCACCATGCTGGTAGAAATGAGACATTACAGTTTAAGTAGAATATGTTTTTATCTTACAAACAATGCTGAAAGACAAGAGGTTACTGTCTTACATTCCATAAAACAAACCCTGTCAAATATAGAGGCAGTATTTAAGAGCACTATTTAAGAAGAGCAATGTGTCTTACCCAATTGAATGTGATCTACGGTAGCCGCAAAAGGAAAGAAAAGCAAGAGTTAAGAGTATTAAGAACATGTAGCAAAAAATAAACGTACATATCTGGAAGATGCCAAAGGAGAAAAAGAAAATCATTCACATTCAAATTTTGACAGTGGAATTCACACTAGAACATGGTTCAGCTGAGATTCCTTCAAGGCAAAAATGTAACTTTTAACAGTTTTTACACACTCCGCCACTACCCAGAGTTAATCTCATATTATCCGTGCAACAAGGAATAGAATTTTTGTGTGGTAAACTTTGTGTCCTCTTCATTAGATCATGCTTGAACAACACTAGAGGAAGTATCAGCCAACTGGAAATTCACATCAGCAGCAAGCATCTTTTTCCCCCTCTGGATTTTTTATCATCTCTCAGTCCAGTGTGATGCCCTATTTACTGCACAATACTTATACCCTACTCTGAAAAAAAAAAACCTGATTTCTTCAGGGGCTATTATATGGGGCTTATCGTTACATATGTGGGTGCTTCGCAAACACAGACGGATTTATCTTCACAGCACATTTCTGTTTAGTCCAGCTTACAGTAATAAGTTTGCTGGTTTTAGCCTCCTTTTACTACCTGCTGATTCCCAGGACCAGCCATCCCTTACTTCATGCTAGCGTCGATATTTGCAGAGCCATAAGGTAAGCAAGACTGGGAATCTGTGTTACTGTGGAGCTCTACAAGCCAGCACAACTGAAGGTGCAAGTGCCAACAGAAATAAGAGAAAGCAACTATCTCACCTGTCATCAGAAGAAATGCTTATGAAATTAAATTCTGAAACAAGGCAATATCATTATTTCCTTTACAGAGGGTATTAGAGAGACACAGAGGTTTAAGAACAGGAGTTCTGGGTATTTGACAGCTACGATTTTTCGAGGAATTCAGTTCTTAGTGACTTCAGCAATAGCTGTGAGTGCTCAGAACATCCCTAGATCATGGAAAGCACAGAAACGCAGGAGTGGAAGGCACATCAAAAATACATTCCCACAGCACTAGAACAGATTATACCTCAGCCATCTCCAGCAGACATCTGCCTAACCTGCTTTTAAAAAATTCCATTGAGCTGTTTATATTTAAAATAGTTAAGCTTTTGTTAGCTTAATGACCTTTAAAAGTTTTTACCTGTGCAGTTCTTGCAGTGTGTGTGGTAGCATGTTTGTAGTAGTGTAGTGAAAGTAGTTTCCTTATATTTTAAAAGCAAACTGAAAAACCAGAAATACTTCCGCTTGGTATCACAGCTTTTCTAGAAGGGTCATCAGCATGGCTGAAGCGTTTAGATCCATATAGACAGTTGTGGAATAACCCAGTAGTACCCCCACAAAAAGATCCCAACTTTGCCAGTAGGCAAAAAGAGCAAGGGGTAAAGGCCCCCAACTCCACACCAGCTCTCTGCTCTGCATGACAAGCGACATGTTGCCAGCACTATCTGCAGCCAGCAGGGGGGTGGTAGGACTCAAGGATCTTGGATTTGGCCAGGCTGTAGAGAAGAACATGCCTAAACGGGCTTTCAACTTGATCTCACCTATCTCAGCCCTCTAAAACTCTCCCAGACCATTCTCTTTCTCCATGGTTGCCTCCTGATACTCCTACTGTTCTGACGCCTCTGTCCCCAAAACCCAGCCTTTTCCATCCTGCTCCATTCCATCCGTTCAGCATCAGTCTTCCCCTTCACTGATACCGTAGTGCTGTAAAGGGGGAAGGGGAAGGGAATTACACTCATTTTTCTTTCAGAAATCTCGGACTCTGCCCTCCACGTCTGAGTAACCAGTGCCCATATTATTCTCCTGTAAGTGACCTGGGACTCCCTTTTTCCCCTTTGCCTTCCCTTTCCATAGAAAGGACACGTCATAATATGTTAACAGAGATGATGTACAAAAACAAAAACCAATGGATTTCATGCTATTAATCGTAAGAGTTATTCGTGAGGAAACTACTATCTTAAGTCTATTACTAGTGCTTGGTTTGTATCCCAAAATAAAAGTATGTTTACTGGTTTTATCTGCTTTTCTTATATTTCTAGTAACCTGATAATATTAAATAAAATGCAACACAACTGTACAGATACATTATGAGCACTGATTAATAATAGTACAAAATTCAGAAGATGTAAAACGCTAAGGATTATTTACCTACAAAATGAGTTAGAGAGTTAAAACACCGGGTAGCTAAGGGTGGGGAAGAAAGAGGAGCACGGCAGCTGCATGAAAAGCATTTTGCCCCCAAAGGGTGGCTTCTCTGTTCATTGGGACACAGAGGAGAGAGGATTTTGCCACCTCTCCTTCCTTCATGTAGACTTCATCTTCATGAAATCCTAACACAGCAGAAGAGAACATTCAGGGGGAGTTCATCTGGCCTGCTGTTGATACGTCATATTTTAATAAATATTTTCAGAGATAACCCAGCGTGAAACATCTTTCAGATTATCAGTTAAGATTTTGGTTCTTCAGAACAAAAGTAAATGTGTTTCATGTGATGCTCTATCCAGCTGACATAGCAGGCAGCCTGGAAAACAGAATTTTGTTTCACAAAGATGGTAGGTTTCAATATCCAGAATCAAGCTGACTACAAGCCTTTTAAAAATCCTCACCGCCACAGGCGTAAAGGCCAAACACACCAGACTGCTGAACATACTGGGACTTATGATGATCATCTGGATTATAGAAATCGGTTTCAAGTGTCTGCTCCGAATGAAAACAGAGCAGGGATTTGCATCTGGATGTCATCGGTGACTATTAATCTTAATGCCTAAACAACAGAATCAAGCCAGAGTCTAACGTGTGTTTAAAACAGTATTATGGGAGGGGGCAGAGATAATCCATATGCCAGACCACTGAAATGAAATGAAATGATTTGGATTAGGAAGAAGCAAGCAAACAATGAAACAAAGAAAGCATGCCTCCCTACAGCTCACTCCCCCAAAACATAGCTGGCATTAGAGTGGGAGTGGGGTAGATTTTTAACTGAGGTCATTGAAGTGATAAGGTTTACCGTGTAACCCAACAGAGAGCTGCATCTGCCCAAATTGAGCTAAGATCTTCGGTCAGCCTTGCTGTTGAGGTAAGCATACTGACTATACTCTAGATTTGCGATGTTCAGTAGATGTAGAAGGCCCCATTCATACCATGCTTTGTGTAACTATGGGATACTAGCTGTGTTGCTTGCTTCTTCACGGTCACTTGTCAAGAAGACTCTCCTTACTGAACACTTAATTAAAAATACAAAAAATGGCAGTGCTGGTAAGTTCGTATTTTCTTGAAAAATTCCCAACCAGGTACAAGGTAATCATTTTGGGTAAAAAAAGGCTACTAGATTCAAGCTTCTTGATTAATCAAAATGCCTATGGATTTAGTCTCTGCTTTCAGCCCTTGGCTAAAGGGCTAAAGGGATAAATACTGCCAGTTGCTTTCCAAGTGCTAGTCAGAAGCATAATGATCATGGGGAAGAAGGGACTGATTGGTAGGACAAAGGAATTGGGTAGCAGTCGTGTTAAGTATTAAAAGACACACTATATTACAGCAAAGACAATTCTTTGCAGTCAATCTCAAACGCTACGCAAAGCCCAGGTAACAGGACTTGGGAAGCACCAAACGCTCAGAGTCCTCCTTCTATGATCAAGAACCAGTGTCCAAGGTATTTGCCCATCAGTTCTGTGACCACAGCTCTGAGATCCAGAGCACCGAAGCAGCAACAGGAGCTGTCCACTGAGCAGTGGTTTTGCCTTGGTTACATGAGGAGGTGTTGGGAAAAGAACAAAAGATAAAACAGAAAATATGTTTGTGCCACGTGCTCATTGCCTATTTCGTCATGTATTTCTCAAAAATATACGGTACAATTAGGAGTGTAGAGAAGGCACTAAGAATAAACAAAAGCAGAAGACAGCTTCGGTGTGATAATCAACTAAATTGACTGGAGCCTCAGCCTGGAAAAGGGCAATACAATAAAACTGCAGGAAATCATAAGAGACTTTAAGCAAAGGAGTAAGGCTATGCTCACTGTTTCTCCCAGTAGAAGAAATAAAAGGCATCAAAGGAAGGTAGACAAAGTAGGGATTCAGAATAGAAAATTAATAAATAAATAAATTACACAAACTTCTTCAGCACAAAACTATCTGCTAATCCAGGGGGTCATGAGCTGTTATGAATGCCAAAAGCTCATACAAGGTGAAAAAAAGAAGATAAATTCATGAAGAAGAATCCATCAAAGACTTTTAAATGAAAGGTGTCACCTCTGTTTTAGAAAGTTCTCAGCTAACAGATTGCTGAAGGCTTGACGAAGGTACCAAGAAAATACAACTGCATGCTTCCTTGTTGTTATATCCTTTTCTAGGTGTACAATACCTAAGGATGTTTAACTGTATTGAGTCAAACAGTTCTTAGCTTATGTTCATAGCCTGGTTGAAAGTCACTCACTAGAATTCCACTTTAAGTTGCAATGTGAAAGAGTCATTATTATAAAGCAGATTTTTCTTTCATAGTTTCACCTAGGAAAACAGCTGTAGTACTTCTGTAGAGGGTTTATTTAGCTGTATGTAAGAGGTAGGTATGAAGGAAGGACTCTATAGAGATTTCTAAAGATTCAAATTAAAAATAAAAACGTGGAAAAATAGGTTTAGCTATAAAGAATTATGCTTCAACCATTTGCAGCAACAACATATCTATATTTGAAATATTGTAAAATGACTTCATATAGTTCTTAGGATACACCTACCTGTTGAATTATAAAATTACAAAAAAAGTGAGTATATGCTGATATCTCTAATAAATGAGACTCTAATTCTGCAGTTTAAACAATATGCTATAGATTTATCCATATCCATTTATTTCATCACAAAAATAAGCTCCCCAAAATACCTGAAATCAAATTCTGTAATCCTACTACCAACTTGAAAGCTGAAGTGCAGCTTATTGTGACGTACAAGTTCTTCATTTACGCTCTCATTTTAAGGAACTGTAAGATCAACATTTTAAAAATATGTTAACATATAAAGCCTGACATTTAAGTCATATACTTAACTAACAATTTTCCCTCAAGCCCTCAACTCCTATTATTTTCCTCTTATCTATTTTTTATAAATACAACTGGACAACAAAACTTTGCCTCTTATCTTAGTAGGCTTGGACCAGCAGAGTGAAAGCCAACGGCAAGAGACAAAAGCCTTTCAGATAGGTAGAACATTAAAACTCCAAAACACCTAGAAACAAATACACAAAGTACGCAGATGATGGGAAATAGATAAAGTAAAAGGAGAAAAGGCATAACAGTTTGCTGAGTAATAAAACCTGACTTCAGGTTGTGGTACTATTTTTATTTTATCCTTTGTACAACTTGAAAAAGCTGATAAAAAAAAGTCTGAAATCCTTTTTGATGTATCTTTCCTAGAAGATAGCTAGGCACGCTTGCTTTCTTTAGATGCTTGTCTCCAAAACTGATTTATGAATAAAATTAGGTTAACTGAAATTTAATGGCATTTTTTCTTCCATTTTATTTGTATACTTCCCTGGGCTTGCAAAGTTATTCCAAAGGGGATTTCCAAGTTGTCTTCTTTTGTTGGTGTTTTGTTTTTGTTTTAACTGGGACTCAAACAGGAATTATATCTTTATTCACAGTTACCCTTTCCTTTAAGCTGGAATTACGAATATAATACTACAGTTATGAACACTAGTTGGACCTCGAAAACATTAGTGTAGAAGGAGTAGTAAAGTGATCGATTTATTATCCTTTTGCTCCTCAAAATAAGACCAAAGAAGCAGTAGATCCCTTTACCTCATGTCTCCAAACTTCTTGCTGATAGCGGTTCCCACATTGCTGATAGCTGCTGTTGCCTTCTGTCCTGCATGGCTCAGGGTCTCGTGTGTTTTCTTGTAACTGGGAGGGAAAAAAAAAAGGAATAGAAATAGTGCTAATTAATTTTGAGAAACAAAGGTGAGAATCCCCTGCAATTGATTCTTTTTTCTCTTATTTCCACATCTTAAAGTCCCACCCACTAAAGGGTTAAGAATTGTAATAATTGTAGCATAAAATGATGTACAAAGATGCCCACTCCTTCACAGCTTCCTAAGTGCAGTTTAACCTTAATGTGAGCAAAACGCCCTCCAGAGTAATCCTTCACCTTTTCTTCTCCTCCTCTGCACACAACCTCCTCTGGTCAACGCAAGCTGTTTAAATGTAGAATGTAATGATTTGTTATGGCTTGCTGAATACTTGCTTGATACAATTTCAGTAAACTTGCATCAGCTAAGAAGCACAGTATACATGTATGTATAGCACACACATTCACCTACAGAATCATCTTAATTTACTGATCTGGAATATATGCTTTAACCCACGTAGACCATTCAGTATGGTTAAATTACATTCTCAGAGTAATCAATAATCTTTTTTGTATGGATGCTTTTTTTGCTGAGTAAACTATTTCTGAGTATTTCAGAGGCTTCCCTCCTAGGAAATTAACTGATGCTCTCAGTGACGCAAACAAGCTCAGAATTAAAAGTACTGACCTCGTACTTTTACAAAAGGATAGCATATTATAATCAGTCTCATATCCTGTGATGTGTCTTGGCAGATAAGAACTGCAGAAATGATCATGAAAAATTCACAAATATAATTTTATTGGTCCTACATCTCTTTTGAACAAATTCTTTAAGATTGTAAATGATTTCAAAAGATTAAAAATTCTTTAAAAGTCCAAAATACACTAGAGATCAATGAAAAATCCTACTGCCTAATTCAGGAAACAGACTATTTTCTTCTTAGTTTTAGGTATATGAAAGCAATACAACTTTGTGGAGAAAGGAGAGGAAGTAAAAGAAGATTAACATTTGCCATACAGCACATCACATTTATGCTAGGTCCTTTTAGCCTTGGTAGTACCTATTGTGCAAAGTCCTTAGCTTCTGTTGTACAGAACATGGGCAGATGCCAAGTAAAGCTGTATACTTTTAGACAATATTCCATCCACAATTAATTTCTCACAACATACAGACATACTTTGATTATATGCTCCTAACCCACAAAACACCTTCCAGACTACTGACCACCTAAAAAGATATAACAACTACGACGAAACGTCTCAGTCTGTGAAAGTGCCTATCTCTGTCTCCACTGACCAGAACGGGAGTCTAGAGGCTCTTAGAGTCTAGAGACCTTAGACTAGGATACCAAGGTACTCCAAGTTAGATAAGCTGAATTAACCGTAAGCAACAACGTTAGAAAGACGACAAGGGGTAAAACATTTTAACAGTTACAGAAGGAGCACAAATTATAATTAGAAAGGAAGGAGCACTGGTTATGCCAGTTTTATTGCTCCTTTTTGAGGGGCAGAATACAGAGAAGACCTAAGTGATTGCCTTCTTTCTCATTCATTCTGCTATTTGTCAGTTGGATAAAGTAAGATTGCAATGTTCGTATTTCACAGAGGCTCATTTGCTAGCTTAACTAGTTCAATCACTCTGTCATACTCTCATATAAGTTAGAGTGGTATAAGACCCTAAAATAAATGTTAATGGTGCTTCAGTCAAACTATGAGCATACACCTTTTGAAAAGTGTTGACCTATGAAAAAAAATCAAACATTCTAATACCCATGTGCTTATACATATATAAGTGTATTTTATAAACGTTCCTGTACTGTTGCATACATGTCTTTAAACATTTTCCTAATGGAGAAGATTACAAATCCATTCAACACAAGAGAAATTTTGCTGATGACAAAAACGAGGGCCAAGACCTGACATCCAGGTCTAAAAGGTCCTTTTGTAAGCAGAGTCAAGCTCATTTTACCTATACCCCAACCTGTTTGGACACAAATCATCTGTGCACAAACATACCCAGCCTCATCAGTCACAGCTGGTTCACATTCTCCTCTGTGAGAAAGCAGGCAAGAGGGAGCTTGCCTCTTTTTGCAAATTACTGTGTTCAACGCTCAAGCCTGTTTTTAAACATCAGAAAGACTCCTATTAAGTTGAACCTTTATCCTAACTTGTATTGGCATATGTTGAGCTATCCCTAATGCTTCGTTCTCTCCTCTCCCTATTCTCCCCCATAACTTTTGGTTGGGTGGGTTCTGAGTCAGCAGTTAGAGAACCAGCACACTTCCAAGCAGGGATGTAAGGCAGTAAGGGATGTAATAACATTTAGCCTCCTTTTTTTTTTTTTTTTGTTAAAGATCAAAGTATCCCACCAGCCAGACAAAAAGTATATTAAAATTATGAATATGTTCAATGAAAGTGATAACCAAGGTAAAAATATATCTAGAAACAAACACTGTTTAAGTTCAGGTTGACTGTACATACTAAAATAGTTTGCAGATATCATTCTGAACTAATTTTTTGAACAAGATACCTTGGAGTTCATTTTGCCAATGGGCATGTTTAGCTTTAGGAAAAAAAGTGAGACTGATTTTGGCATTCCAACTACTATTGCATTTTCTTTATAGATCCCAGAAATGCAACGTTCTCCCCAGTATTTCTTCTAGGAAGAAAGAAATGGAAACTGCATTTATATTCTTAATACTTCTGCTGTTATGTAACAATGTAAACCCAGCTAAGACTGTTATACAATTGGTCTTTTTTGAGTGCCAGCTCTGGAAAAATGCCCTCTGACACAGAAACAGCCCCTCCCTTCAGCAATGCACAAGAGCCTTGAGAAATGGAAAAATAACAAAAGTAAAAATGCAAAATGCAACAAGCAATACCTGTTAGCAGAGATAAGAACAGTAATTTGCATCTCAGCAAAATTCACTAATGGTTAGCTAAAAAATCACTCTCCCGTACTTGCCCCTCTACCGTTATCCGCATCACTGTGCCTCCTTCATAAATAACTGATGTCTTCATAGAGCACATTGCCTCACTGTAATTAGTTAGGATCTGCACTGAGATACAGCACAATATTTTGGTTCAGATATTTTTATCATCATAGTTATGTTTACATTTACAGCATTCATTTGATGCCTTGCCAAATACTCCGGTAAAGAATGATCTTTTAGACGTATTATTTCTGACTTCCGAGAATCTTCTCAGTTGCATTCTGCATCAATAATTTGACCCAGATATTTTCACATTCTCATCTAACACACAAGAATTTCTGGGTTTTAATGAACTGAACACTTAGTTTTCAGAAATCTCTAAGAGTACCAATGAAGTTCGCTATTCTAGTCAAGAATATTTATTCCTGGGAGACAGAACGAGTGTTGTACCTATGGCTTTTCTCAAGGCCTGCTTCCACTGTCAAATGCTCTAATACACTACGTGATGTGATCTACCCTTCCATCATATTCTTTCTTACCCTTTGAGCAGCCATTATTGGCAATTATTTTGCAAGTACTGACAGCCGAGATCATCAGGACAGTGAAAACATCGCAACAGTCAGTCAGTCATTGACAGAGATCAGGTAGGTGACCCTGAACCCTAAGGCAGAAACGCTCCAGCAAAAATAGAAAATCAGGAATGTAGGACACGAAGATTCAAGAAATACTATCTTTCTATCCAGCCCACAGTGTACGTTTTACACAGGTGCATCATTAGGCATTCTTACACTGATAAAAAGTCATCATAATACTCCCCCTCCGCCCCAACCAATTTAATAGCATTATTCCAGATGTCCATCAGCAAAAGTAGAAACAGGCTAACTTGAAACAGAAGACTTGATTTATACAGTTAGGAGTAGGAAGACATTCACTGTTTTTGCAGTACCTAAACATATTCCATAAAACAGGATTACTGGCAGTGGTTAACAAAGACCACAGTTCATTCCTCTCACTTAGCATTTCCTAATAAATACCTAAGATTTGTTTGACAGACACACAGTATTAAACAAATATGGTATGTGAACTGCTGTCACAATTAACCTGCCAATCAAACTAACCCGTGTCAGCTGAGGCAGCCAACAGATGCAACAGTTTGTGCAGCAGTGTACAAAGAAGGGGCCCTCGTCTCCAGTCACAGCAGCGTACACTTCCTCAGAAATGGTTATGACACGCTGCAGAGCGCATTCCCCAGTAGCCACTGCAGTCACTGCATTTGCCATGGCTTCTACCCAGACAGACCAACTGATGATGGATGCAGCTCTGAAGGTCTCAGGCTGCAAGGCGTGCCTGGGGCCTCTCTGTGAGGCTGAGGATGACAGCCAACTCTCTGCAGATGGTGTGCGGTTGTTGATAAGTTGTGTTGCCAGGTAAAGGATTTATGGGAGGAAGTAAGCAGACTGAGTAGCATCCGAGAAGATGAGCATGAGATAGATAGAATATTCTCAGACACCATGCAGCTTCAAGAGTCTCAACTGCCCCCACAACAGCGGAGATGCAGGAGGGCTCTGTGCCATGTGGAACAGTAAGTCATAACTCCGTAGAAGATGAAGGCTGGAAACTGGCCACTTCTTGTATGAGGAGAAAGACTCTTGCTTCTCCTGAAGACTTGCAGTTGATGAACAGGTTCAGTGCCCTCCAAGCTGAGGAGAAGCTGGGCATGACTTCAAGTGAAGTAACTGGGCGGACAGACCCCGTGCCATACAGGAACACCCAGAAGAAGCAGTGAGTGATTGCTATGGGTGACTCCCTGCTGCAGGGGACAGAGGCACCCATCCGCTGACCTGACCTCCTGTCTAGAGAGGTTTGCTGCCTGCTGGGGGCTCGGATCTGAAATGCCATGGAAAGAGTACCAAAGCTTGTCTAACCCTCCAACTATTATACTCTCCTGCTCTTCCATGTGGGCACCAACAATACTGCCAAGGGCAACTTGGAAAGTATAAAAAAGGGATTTCAGAGCTCTGGGGACAGTGGTCTGGGGTGTGGAGTCCCAGGTCATTTTCTCCTTGATCCTGCCAGGGAGGGAGAAGGATGGGAGGAGGAGTAGATGGATACTGCAAGTTAAT